TGCCTGGGGTCTCCCCCATGATCCCCTCCTTCAGCCCCCACCCCCTATTTACTGGCACAGAATCTGGGTCCAGCTCCCTGCGGCAGCGAATAGGGACTGCCCATATCTCCCAAGTGATTCGGACCTTTTTCTTGATCTCCTGATTTGAATTCACATTTGGAGATTCGACTGCTGAATCGAATCAGTACCTGAAGCTTCAAATAGCCCTATAGGAGTACTGCTTCAACATTAGCAACTATTATACTACCAAGCTTTAGCAGTAATATAATTAATATTAAGTCAGGATTTGTTTTTTCTGATAAATAACCTCCATCCTGAGTATCAACTGAAGCCTCTCTGGTAAATATTAACCTTAGTCTATAGTTTAAAAAAAATCCCAAAACCCCCCAAAAAAACCACCCAAATTTTTCTATTATAATGTTTGTAGTGTTCTCAGATCTTATTTCACATATGAGCTGATATAGTCAATCAGATTACCTTTATTGTTAGGTCTTCATTTCCCAGAACAACTGTTACTTCAATTGGAGAAAGTGAGGACCGGTTTTCTTGATACTCAATTGTTGCTCTCATTGCGTTCTATAAGAAAATTAAAGTTAATCAGAAGACTTCATCTTAACTGTCACTACAGAAGTATCATAATGAAAATTAGAGGGACATCAATATCAGTTCATATTGAATCAGCATTGATAAAAGGAAAATTTACGTGGTCGGCAATTGCCTTTTTTTGCTGATGTAGCCGATAAAGTGGTACGTGCATGCATGAAGCCACAGCATGAACATGGCTAGGAATGCTGTATGGCAGCTTGGTAAGCAGCATCCAGCTGGCAAGTCTGTGAGGGGCAAGGGGGCAGATTGAGGCCCCCGCAGTGAGGGAGTGGGGCAGGCGCAGGCACTCTGTACACCACTTGGGGCACTGCCCAGCTGGGGCAAGACAGGGTATGGGATGGAGCTCCCCACCACTGCATGCACCCCCAGGAGAGGCATGGAGGGGCATGTTCCCCCTGGATTTGTGTATGGGATATGGGTGGGCTGCACTAGTCTCTTCCCAGTGCACACGCTGGGCCAGGCGGTGGCAGTAGCCTCACCTCCCAGTGCCACCGGTGCCCACCCAAGCACAGCCCCAACCCAGCCTCCCTCACCAGAAAGAGGCTGGTACAGTATCTTGCCTTTGCCCCACACAGATCCAGAAGGAACATGCCCCCTCCCCGTGCCCACCCTGTGGGTGTGTGTAGTGGCAGAGCTGTACCCTCTCCTCACTATACTTGGACAAGCCACCCATGGTTCTGCACCATGCCTCGCCCAGTCAGTGCCTGCCCCTGCTCCACTCCTTCACTCACCATGGGAGCCTCAGTCTCAGTCTGCGCCCCCCGCCACCCATGCCTCTTACCCCCCTCCCCCC